TCATCTTCGTGTCGGACTCCTGCATGAGAGCAGTCCAAAATGCCGACATGAAGCGAGTGTCGAGGTCGCTGACTATGTCTTCTGGTACACCGTGGGCACAAATCCAACCAGTGTGCAGGAGGCGTGCCAGCTCGGGAGCCGTGGAGTAGTACTTGCAAGGAAGAAAACGCGCGTACTTACTCAATCGGTCCACAACCGTGAGGATGCCGTCGTGCCCGAGCCGGTCGCGGGGAAACGGACCGGTGACGTCCATGGCAATGGAGAGACCAGGTTCCCGTGGGATAGGCATTGGGCGTAACTCGCTGTAGGGATTGCGGTTGCGGGGCTTGCTGCGTCGGCAAACTTCGCAAGAGTCGCAATACCGAGTGACATCGGTAATGAGATTGGGTCATCGGAATCGCTGTCGAAGCCGTGCAATAGTGTGGTTGACTCCGAAATGGCCGGCGAGTCGTGAATCATGATACTCGTCGAGGAGGCGAGTCCGAAGATGTGGCGAAGTCCGCATCAGACTCATATGCCCGGATGAAGTGTCGCTGAAGCTCCTCGTCGAATGCGAAGGCATGATGTTTCATAGCGCAAAGATCGGGTCTTCACAAGAGTGCATCTGCTGCGCGATTGGAGAGGCCGGGAAGATGTTTCGGTGTGAAGTCAAACTGGTCGATGGAGTACATCCATCGTCCGATCGTGCTGCTCACCGTATCCTGCGTCTTGTAGTAGGTCAATGGATTGTTGTCTGTAACCCATGTGAACCTACGACGCCCAAGGAGGAAGTGTCGCCATCGCTTGAGAGCCATGATGAATGCGAGCAGCTCCTTCTTCCTTGCATCATCAAGCGAGTTGATGGGAGGCACTTTGTGGCTGAAATACTCCACAGGGTGCCAGTCGTCGCCGTCGTGCTGTTCCAAGACTGCCCCAATKCCATAGYCGGAAGCGTCCGTAGTCACTCKSGTCGGYAGKGTGGRGTCATAGATGCTAAGGACGGGTGCCATRAGCATRGCCGTCTTAAGTGCTTGGAATGACYGGCGTGCGTCGTCATTGAATACGAATGGCACCTTTGGCGACTGTAACCTCGTCATAGGTGCAGCAATCCTGGAATATCCGGTGATGAATCGCTGATAGTAGCCCGCCAATCTCATGAATGAACGAACATCCGTGGTGTTGGTGGGCTCGGGCCATACTCGTAGGGCCTCGATCTTGTCCGCAAGCGGACGGATGCCTTGCGGTGTCACATAGTGTACCAAGTACTCCAGCTCCTGCCGTGCGAATTCGCACTTGTCGCGGTTGGCTTTGTACTTGGCCTGTCGTAGCCGCTCCAAAACGGTGTGCAGGTGTTCCACATGCTCCTCCAAACTCCGGCTGTACACCAGGATGTCGTCGAGGTAGATAAGTACGTATCGATCCAGCATGTGTCGGAACTCCGTTGTCATAGCCGCTTGGAAAGTGGCCGGGGCATTCGTAAGGCCAAATGGCATAACCAGCCATTTGAAATGCCCATATCGCGTCTTAAACGCAGTCTTGTAGCGATCCTCCTTGCGCATCTCGAGTTGGTGATATCTCGACTTGAGATCGAGCTTGGAGAAGAACTTGGCGCCGCCCAGTCGCTCAAGAAGATCGTCGATGCGTGGGAGAAGGCCGACGTTTCTGATCGTCCGCGCGTTGAGTTTGCGATAATCGATGCACAACCGCAAATCCTTGTTCTTCTTTCGGACGAAGAGAATAGGAGCACCGTATGGCGATGAGCTAGGCCGAATCCAACCTTTCTCCAGAAGGTCGTCGAGTTGTGCCCGAAGCACACTTAACTCTTCCTCGCTCATTCGGTAGATGCAACCGTGTGGAGGTACGGCCCCGTCCTTGAGGATGATCACGTGGCGGATGGGTCGATCCGGTGTGTGAGGAAACCCGGGGAGGGGTCACCTACCGCTCGCTGAAGCCAAGGGCAACGGCGCCTGTCACTCGCCGCGCTCGCTTCAGAGGTCCTCAGCGGTCGGTAGGGAGTGATGTTCAGATCGCCTGTCACTTCTCACTTAAAGTTGGCTTTTATGTTCCCCCACTGCACACTTAAATAATACGAAAAAGCAAAACAAAGAAAACAAAATGTACAAATCTGATATGAAAGTTTGCGACTCAAGCAAAATCAATGCCAAGGGTCTCGCCTCCTACACCCTGATTAATTCTTTTTTTTTGTCAGGCATCGAGGCTGGTAATGCCTTTCAGGATTGGTTCATTAGTTAGGGCTGCTTTCACACTTGGCCACGTTTTTCCTCTTGGCACTACACTCTGTGGACATAGCCAACTCAGTCACATGGGAAAATGTCTAAATTTCGATAACTACGAAATCCCAACGGTGTAAACATCTGTCTTGATACCCCCCTTTAGTGCCCAATGCCTGATCTTCTGTTGGGGATGCCTTCCAGTAATGATGACCAATAACATGTCAGCTCATTGAAATACAGTGCGAAAACAGGCTGCCCTTTCAAAACGCTGTTGGCAGCAATTATTCACCAGCTTAGCCACATGGGAAAATGTCAGAATCATGAT